AGCCCCCCAAATTGGGGCGGAATTGGAGAGAGAAAAAGAGAACTAAATCAATACCGAAAAAAAGGATAAATAAATGTGGTTAGCGGAATCCCAGATCGGCCCAGAGACAGGAAGAGAGAAGTCCGGCGAGGATTGATCATCGATGAAGAGGATTCCCTCGAACAGGGACTGCATGCAAAGTTTAGGTGGAGTCTGCTGGACGGCGAGAGTATAAGAGCTCATTTTTCTCCTTGCCGGCGGCGACTCCCTCATCCAAAATACAAAACCAGAAAACCTAGATGAAAAAAATGGGTCGGAATTAAGAACGTCGGAGAAATCAAAAGAAAACAAGCATGCAAGCAGAATCTCGCCTTGACTAGTGCATTTTCAGTAGAATTGACCCCCCAACTCCCTTTCTCGTATCACCGGATTTGGCCGCCGATATTTTCTCTCTTCCTCGGCGCGAAGCAGGGCAAGCAAAATCCGGCGGGAATTGGATGGCGAAGGTTTGGAGACGGTGGAATCGGCTGGAAAATGATTGAAGATGTGAATGATTTGTGGTTGGGGATTCTTGTGCGGCGGAGAAGAGAAAATAAAAGATTGCAGAGATGCAGTGAGGAAGAGGAAAAGCCAGAGAAGGGAAAAAAATGTCGACAATGTAAATGAGGAAAGAGGGTGGTAAGTGAGAAAGAATTATTAATTTTTTAAATATTTATTAATTTTTAATAATATAATATTATAAATTAATACACCAATTAAATTTACACTCTATTTTGCACCCTCCTACTTTTTCTCCCAAACAACAATTTACCCCCCAATTTGCACCCCTATTAAATTTGCTCCCTCCTACAATTTACATCCCTATTTGTACCCTCCTCAAATTTGCACCCCCCTTGTTGCCAAACATAGCGTAAAGGCTTTCTAGGAGAGAGAGGATGCTGATGTGGACAGGTTACTCATGATTACTCACCATAAGGTTACTGACCTGCTACATTCCCGAAATTAACATACTAAACTAAAAACAAAACAAATTCCAACAAATTAACTTGCAAACCGCATTAGTGTGACATCACACGTACGTTGATTAATTCAAGTAGTACGTACTTCCTTCCAATCGCAAAAAATCCTAATCCTAATCAACTAACTAATAATCTTCACATAAGTTGACTAAAAAATAATAAAAAATTAACCAGTAATCATATCCGTGATTTCTAATACATTATCGAAAATTATTACCACACACAAATTATAATAATCATAATTATTACTCTAGTAGTACTTTTCCTTTACGGTTTTGGAACAAAGAATTCTACAGCCATGGAGGATAGCTACGTGAGGTACTTAACTACTTAGGTCGCTACCTATAAAGCTCTCCCAGCCTCAACTAATGGCTATATGGAGATGATAATAATATGGTCACCGTGAACGAGAAACCACCGCCACCTAACTAGCTAGTTTTTACTACTGCCTACGCAACATGGCGGCGAGTACCGCCGTGGAGATCACCGCCAGTGCCAAGAAACGGCGCCGCTCGACTAACCACGGCCGCAACAAGAAAGTGCTAGTTCTGAGGGAACTCCCACTTTTCCCTCTCGCTCCCGGCGACCTCAAGCAGTCCCAATCGCCCGACGCCGGCGATCCGAACAACGTCCAGCTCGACGACGCGTCATTAATGCTCCGCTTGGGCATTCCTAATGATGATCAGCCGAATATGATGATGATGGTCAGGTACGTATATGGTAATATATGTCTAACTAACCTATATTTGTGGAACCATACCAGAAGTTATATCGGAAAAGTTAGTGATAGGGTATTTTGTATTAAAATCGTGGTTCGACCATTTTGTATCAAACATAGTCAAAATCGCGCTTTAAAACTTAAAAGTTTATGTTTTTATACACTTCTAGGCCACCAAAAAACGTTTGCTGACATGGAAGCGTAAAAACGTAAGCTTTTAAGGTTTAAAGCGTAGATTTTGACTCAGCTGTAAGTGACAAGTGCGAAAAGTTAGTGGTATGACATTTGTACTAAAATCGTGGTTTAGACACTGTTCAGTCGTTTTGTATCCAATGTAGTAAAAATCAAGGTTTAAAAATTAAAATGTTATGTTTCGATACACTTCTAGATCATCAATGCTTTTACGTAGAATCGCATTTGTCACTTTTAAAATCAATGCTTCAAAACTTAAGTTTTTACACTTGATCACAAAAACACTTCTATATAGACTCGCTATTTCAAACTGGATTATTTGTAGCTTTAAAACAACCTACTGTTTAGGATTAATCTAGTACCCGGTAAGTTAGGGTTTCTCAAACAATGTAACTAACTCGGTGCATGCATGCATTAACTCATTCAATTTCCCTACGTGATCAGGCACGAGGAGGAGGAGGAGGTGGTGTGGAGGATAAGGAAGGTGTTGACGAAGAGCGACACCAACGACTGCTCGAGGCTGCTGATAGCGACCGACACGGCGCGGCAGCACGTGTTCCCCTACCTCGCCCCGGCGGAGGCTGAGAAGGTGGAGAGCGGCGGGCCGAAGGGCGATGGGGCGGCGGACGTGGTGGTTTGGGACGCGGACACGGGCTCGGAGCACCGGCTGCAGTTCCGGAGGTGGAATTCCAGCGGGTGCTACGTGTTCAACAATGAGTGGCAGGGAGGGTTCGTGCGGAGGAGGACGCTGGAAGAAGGCGACGAGGTCGGTCTCTACTTTGACGGCCGACGCCGGCGATTTGTCTTCTCCGTTCTTAACCGAGCGGCGAACCGTAATTAATTACGTGTTGGTTAATCTATTGGGGATGTTTGATTTTATTTGTTGGATTCTTTATGAGGGGTAGTTCTGGAGTGCGGTAATTCCCTGTGTTGTCAAATTGGTGGTTTCTTGGACCAATTTAGGGGTTTAGGGTTTCTGTTTGTTGTTAATGGTTAGGAATGGCAATGGGGCAGGTCCGGGGAGGGTATCTCGATACCCATACTCGACCCATGGCAGGTCGGGTCCAGGTCGGGTAATTTATCACGGGGCGCGGGTCGGGGCTGGTCGACCCATTGGGTATGTAATTTATGCGAAAAACATTAGAAACATTCGTTATTTTCATTAAAAGACTAAGAAAGAAACCATAATATGATAAAATGTAGTTAAATTATTGAAGAAATTGAGGTTTTCACTTATTCACATTTTTATTATAGCTAAAATATAATGTAATAAGAGGAAAATCCTAAGTAATTTGACTAATATTATATGTAATATAGGCAAGAACGGGTCGAGAATGGGGCGGGTCAGGGCAGGTCGGGTCGATGAGAGGTACCCATGCCCGCCCCGCCCCGCCTACGGGGCGAGTTTGACCTGCCCCAAAACAGGTCAAACAAGTTGGGTAATTCGGATCAGGTCGAAATTGCCATCCCTATTAATGGTAATCTATATTTTTTTCTTTTTTTTTTTTTTACAAATGATGAATCGTTTGTTACTGTGATTATGTGCTCACAGTAGATATGTGATGAAGAGCTTGTGATGTTGTTGTATGTTGTGTGGTGATCGTATTTGTGGGGTGAAGAAATACGAACCGATGTTATTGGCGCACATGATATGGCCGGATATATGTTTAATAATTAATGAGTTAAAATTTAGGGTAATGACTATTTATTAATTAAATTTTTTTTGGATTTTTTTAGTAACCAAACCTTTTGAAATATTAAGAATTAACCAAATGTTAACTTCCAATCAATAATTTTGTTAGTAATTTGACTTGGCAACATGATACTGATTTGGAAGAGACACATAAAGGTTAACATCCAAAATTTTAGTATTTTAAATAAGAAAAGAGTTAAAAAATTATTAACGATAACTTAAAAATGGTTAATGTTTTGATGCATTACGAAAGATTTGGGTAATTAATAGAATTGTAATAGGTTTGGATAATATAAAAGAATCTGAAAAGGGTTTGGATAAAAATTTGACATTACCCAAAAATTTATAAGATACTTTTATCAATTTTTTGCTTATTCTTCGTTTAATTGATTTAAAATATTTAAAAATTGAACTTATATAATAACCTTACAGGTACAAGTTCAGTTTACACCATAAAAGAATTTGTACATTTTTATGTTATGGTATAAGTTAAGTTTGTACCATTATATGAAGATACAAATTCAGCTTCTACCTAAAAAAATTAATGAAATTGCATAGATATGTACAAACTGAATTTGTACACTAACGTTGAAAGTACAAGTAAAAGTTCAGTCTGTAACTTTGTACAATCAAGGTTTAACCAAAGCACCGAAAAATTCCTCATTGGTAACTACCTGATTCAATTAGTATGTTGATTGAAAGTAAAGAATGTTGTTATTGTAAATAATTGTGAAGATTCCTGAGTCTTTTTTTTTTTTTTTTTTTGGTGTTAAGACAAGAAAATGCTATGTATGTTGTTTCACAGATATCACCGGGCTAAAAGTGAAGTACACCGATTTTCCTTCACTTAATTAGCTCGTCTTCATGTTCTTCACTACACTTAGCTGCATAATCAAACACTTATAGGAGACTATCAATAAAGCCCTTAGCACATAAAGTAGCAACCAAGTCGTTGTAGTATAGTGGTAAGTATTCCCACCTGTCACGCGGGTGACCCGGGTTCGATCCCCGGCAATGGCGTTTCTGAATTTTTGCTGGTAATAATCTATTCTTTCTTTTTACACCACATGCTCGAGTCTAGTCAGACCAGGACAAACTGCAAACTTTCTCCCACATTGTAAAATACAAAACCCACGACGTAGTGAAAGGCGACAAATTGAACTGATTCTGTCAAATACATACAAACAAAATCCAGAGGAAGAACCAAAAGCAGAACCGACAAATAAGATGGGATTACTTTTAGATTCCATGCCATATGAACAACTGCTACTCGGCAACTTTCAAATCTCATGCACATTACCACAATCAATCCGGCGGGAGGAGGCAATGAATGAAAGAGCCAAAACAGACTGACAGGCAAATGAATCAGCAGCAAGCAACCAACCAACCACTTCCAGATCTCAATGGTCTCGTTATATTTATTTGAAGAACCTAATAAGGAAGAAAAGGTTGCAGAAAGAACTCCTTGCAGCAGCTTTAGAGAGATTTAATATAATACAGCCCTCAATAGTACATTAAGAATGAAAATCCTTATCCCACTCTCTAAACTGTACTTAATTCCCTGCTATATTTTCTCGAGCTACACACTTTATGCACAGTATTTGTGTTTCCTATCTCTAACTCTCTACTCTTAACCAATGGCTTCCAAGAAACAAAAAAGAGGGAAAGATCAAAACTTTCGACTGTACATCTTACAACACCATTCTCCTCCTTTGTTATTTTCAAAAAAAAAAGTCTCCTCCTTTGTCACCTCCCGGTCAACGGAAGTAGGATCCTTGGTGTCAACAATCAATGCCCTCTTCTCTTGCTCCATGTGTGCGGTGATCTCCGGTTGAGCCTACTACACACGAGAAAATGGAGATATTGGAGGCTTGAGCTTGTAAGACTGCTGCTTTTTTCCAGTTTCTTACAGGGTTTCTTCTTCTCTTCCTCGGTCACAGCGTCGATCAAGAACTTGACCTCTTCCTCTATCATTACCTTCAGCGAGTTGCAATGTGGCAGCATCGACTTCTTCTTGCTTCTGCTATCGCCAACTGCACATGCAGCTTCTGAGCCGTGCAGCATGGCAACACAGATGGAAAATGCCTGCAAAGTGGATAGCTTTGCATGGAAATCGACTGCATACTCTCCTTCTTCCAATGCTCTCATAATAAATGCCGGTATCTTCTCTTTCGTCCCCTGCAACACAACATTCAGAATAATCTTATAGCCGACGGCAGAAGTGAAAGACAAAGAAACTCTGATAATAGCAGGAACTGTTAAGGATGAACTAGTCTGATAACTAAATTCTTTAGAAATAAGAAATTTAACTGCAAAAATTTCAAGTTACCAATAGATGATTTTTACCTGAATAAAGAGCTCCAACGGCTTCTACCTATCGACAAGAGGTTCATCTTCAGCACATTGGATGTCAGGGTTTCCAAAAACATTGAGGGGACAAGCCATATCCCACCCCCCACAATCACATCCCCCACCTGATCTCCACCGGTCGAGCAACGAACAAGGCCCCCGGCTTTCTGCATCACTTGGCAAACTGTGATTTCCAATTGGAATTACCACCTTAACCTTTTCTGTACTTTCCCTATCAGGACTTTCCTTTGCACTTCGCTCAGCCATGGAGAGGTTCAGCAGGTTCAAATGCACTTTCTTCCTGCTGTTGTAACCTCTCTTGTACTTCAAGCTTTCCCTCTTCGCAAAAGGGATTTGAATAACAATTGCTGCAATCTCAAGGTCAGGCTGCAAACCAGCAGATATGTTGTTAGGACAACTGTTAGGACTCGGGGTAGCTGAACCATCATCCGAGCCATGATGCATCCCACCATCCAAACAAGGGAAGGTGCCATTGCTACTAGATTTGTTGACATCAGGGGAGCCTTCTGAAGAAACACTGTTTCTCGCATGTGCAATGTCGTACAACACAAATTCAGTCACCATTGAGTTATCTGAAAGGGGGCAATCTTGTACCTCAGAATGCAAATATGAGGAGACGTGCATCTGCCCTGCTACTACCATGGACTCCTTGCTCTCGTTGGCCCCACCTCGTCCACTCACGTTGCTCCTTTTTCTATTGCAAATGGAGTGGAAAGTGTAAACCCACTTGGAAGCATTGTTTACTTTCCAAGTCTTTGCCACAAGAACTTCCTCGGGGGAAGACAACGAGAACTCGAAGTACGGGATCTTGTTTTTGTTCTTCAACTTGAGACTGCCATGTAGGTGAACTGCTGAATTTGCAACATTTGATGAATGATGATTCTGCTGAGAAGTATATGAGAATTCATGTAATAAAGACTTCCTTAGGAGCTCATTCCTTCTCATGGATGCCACAGTACTATTTGCTTTAGGATGATCACTTGGATCAGGAGCATTGCTCAATGGACTGCGCAGAGACTTGGACTTCATGAACGGATCAAACATCTTTCTGATTGGTACAAATCTCGACTTCGAACTGCCACTAGTGGAGCAATCGCTCTCGGAAGCAGAAGAAGGTGAATGAGGCATGTCTAGCTTAGCACATAGTGTTTTGTGAAACGTTGGCGCATCTCTTTCAAGGAGGTAATTAGCATCATTCTGAGGACCAGCTACATTATCACTCCTCAAGCCTTGACTCTCACTTCTCAAATGACTTCTTCGAACAATTCCAACATCTTGTCGCTCTCTGACATCCAAATTTGGACAAATTTCGATGAATGCATCAGCTGGTGGACAAGAACGATCCAAACGAGGCTTTTGACCAGAAATCAGGTTCAATTTCGCATCTAAAGCTGACGAAGGATGCACCTTCCGAGCATCATCTTCATCTGAGCTACACGAAGACTCAACAACATCCAAGGAGAACGAAGTGTGGCTGCCACATGACAATTCGATTTTCCTCCTTCCTGCATTATAAGAAGAAGACTCCATTTTCTTCAGTCGCATTACATCGCTAGAGCTTTGATACATGGAACCTCGCTTCAGGTCTACGCTAGGTACTAGTACTCCAGAAGGCCTAGAAGATTGTACATTCTTACAAGAGGTACTTCGATAACGACGGAAGTTTATCTCTATGAAGCATTCCTTCACCCTCAAGAAATTATCTTTACGCGTGAGATTCTGATGGTGGGCAGTTTTGTTATCGGCATCAGAACAATGTCTGAGTGGAAGGACTGTGTTAGGACTCAGATACGAAGTACTACTCTTCAACTTGAATTCCAACTCCATTTCTAGTCCCATTGCTAGATTTGGGATCCTCCCAAAGGTGAACAAGAATATTGCAAGCAATTCAATAGTTGAAAGTTGAAAGACAACACCCACTGAATTAATCTCCAAAGTGTTGACTAATAATAGCAGCTCTATATGGCCGAACACCAAAGCTACACAACATTAACATGAGAATTTGAGCAATTGCGAAATTGAAAGGGAACCCCATTAGACTTCAAACCAGAGAAACAGAGTTAATAGCAATCCAATCAAGACAGCAACACAAGGAAAGGAGAAAAGGAGGGGTAGAAAACAAGCTCAATATCAAACACCTGGTTAAAGCTATAACAAGGGATGTGTGGCAGTTCATCCCCCAAAAAATAAAGCTCACCATCATCAATGATTTCGAGCTTTGAGATCAGAAGCTAAAGAAGAAAAAGGCTCAGTGAAAACCCAGCATTTGATCCCTACGGAACTGCAACTAGTGAGGCAATGAAGCAAACAACCACCGGAGGGAACAAAAGGCTAAACAGCAATTATTAGCTTAGCAGCACACAACACTTTACCTTGCTTCACTTGCATTCCAATCCAAAGCAATCAATTAAAATGGAAACATGCCCCACTTTCCCTCCATCTCAACCTGTTAGATCTCTCTCTCAGAGAAATGACCAGGAAACCCCACAAACTGGCAAGCAGAGAGAACCCTATCATTAAACCCCTTTTAAGCTCAATAAGAGCGTTATTTTAATCCCATTGAGATGAAACAGGTGGAAAGAACATGGAACATGGAAAGAGAGCAAAACCCAAGTACCCATATGAAAGAAGCTCAGAAACTACCCCCAAAGATGAGAACTTTGGTACATATCGGATTAGTCCCCTCAAGGAATCGGCAAAAGTACCCAAAGGGAGACGTAAAGCAAATGAGGAAACAAGGAGAGGGAAAAAAAAAAAGCAAAAGGAAGTGGAGGGACCAATGGGCAGCAGTCAAGCAAACTGAACACAGAATAAAGAAGAAAAAGTGAAGTTGCTGAGTGTAGAGAGAGAGAGAGACTGCATGCCTTGGCTGGTGGTGACTGGTGAGAGCTTCCTCTGTTCATGTCCACCAAAGCATCAATCTTTCCTTCCCCATTTTCTTTGTTCTTCGCTCACTTTCACTCACATATGAGAAACCTCATTATTATTTTAATTGTGTTGGGTTTTCTGCTTTGTCGATTGTTCCATGGTTGTCATGCCGGTGGCATCGGTTGAACCTGGTTCAACCTGTGCCGGTCATAAAACCGACATGACACCACCGGTATAACAGGTATAATCGACTTACGCATTCTAAGCAAAATGACATCATTTTAATGGATTTCATTAATAAAAAAACTAATTTATTATTCATTTTATGAATTTAATAGTTAAAAATTGATGATATTTGTTGGATTGTAACTAAATTGTCCACAAATATGTTTTATATATGATTTAATACATTGGATATTAATTATTTTCACATTTTTTTAAACCGTCACGAACGGCACAAACTGGTTATACCACCGGTCGTACCATTCTACTTGCCAAACCGGCATAACGGTATAAACCGGATTGACAACCTTGTTCCACGCCTTTAGGCGAATGATTTGGGTGGGAGCTGAGCTCTAGGAAGAGGAACTAATGTTCTTCTTTAAGGTATTTAATTCTATAGAAAGAAAGGATGAGAGGCTCAGTGGTTTTGGGGAAGTGAAGTGCAGTGCAGATATAAAAAGACAAAGTGATGCCTACATTTAATTTAGATGCTCGACAATCCCCTAATTAAATTACCCTTTTTGAATGATTTTGTGTTTCTTAGTGTTAATTCCAGATCCCGTCGGTAACAGCTTGTTTGGATATAATTCTGTTGGAAAATGAATTCCATTTCTTGTGAGAATCTGAATTCAAGTGGGAATTAATTTCAAGAGTTTATGTTTGGAACAAATCCAAAAGTTTGAGAAATGATTTCATCTTTTTATGTTTGAAAAAAAAATGGAAATGATTTCTTACAAGTGCTTTTACAGTAATATCTTTGGTATTAATGATTTCAAATCCAAAAGTAATAAGGGCTTTCTTGTAAAGGTGAATCAAAATTAATGTGGGTTTCACTAATTCTATCACTCCTCCACCAATTCCGACCACTTTTAGTAGTATTTAGAATTTTCAACTTTTTACCTTTTGGAATTCCATTTCCTTTTTATTTTTTTACTTCCAATCATGAGAATCATTAAAAGTTTGAGAATTGGAATTCCATTTTCTCAAAATTTAGTCTATCCAAACAGGCTGTAAGGGATGACATACGGTTACAACCTCTTTAGGGATTGTGAGTTTGACAACCCACTTCATAGCCGGGTAAAATATCTTGGGTGTCACTTAAGTTTGAAAATTTGGGTAGACATACCACTTAAGTTTGAATAGGGCGTCGGGTACAACTGAACTCTATTATTTGTGCAACCGGTACCACTTAAGTTTAATGTTAGATGCTTTCCGTTAAAGTTAACAGAATGTTCTTGAAATATTTTGTTTTCTAAATTTCTTAATTGGTCCTTCTACTTTTCTTATTGTAAAAAACCATTTTTGACTTATGAAAAACATCAATTTTTATTATTTAGTTGGTATCCTCTTTTGAAGACTTGATACCAAATTAATTTTTGAATAGAAAATTTAGAATCAACTATCATTATAAGTATTTTCAATTATCATTATGTTTTCTAATAATTGAATTATTCTCTAAAGCAAATATATCCTATGAATTCTGTTTAGTTGGAATCCTCTTTTGAAGACTTTGATACCAAACCAATTTTTGAATAGGAAATGTAGAATTAATTGTCATTATAAGTATTTACAATTACCATTATATGTTATAATAATTGAATAATTTGTTGAATCAAATATATCCTATGATTTAACTAAATTTACTAATTCTAATTCTCATCCTATAGTTGTATTTTCTTTTCTAGATTTGTTACGGAACATTGTAGATTTTATTTATTTATTACTTTGTTACTTTCGTTCTCTTTTCGTTCTAAATTTTCTTCAATTACTGGAATATGTTTAATTCTTTCTGACTGTGTTCCATTTATCCTTCTTTGGTTTTGATGTATTGATGATCGAGTATGTTCTATTTTAACTATTTTTAATAGTATTTCTAATTGGATTAGCGATTTAAATAGATTTTCTAATTTTAATTTTAAGGGTTATAGGTATAATATGCCCCTCTACTATGTAGTTTTATCAAACATGCCCCTCTACTATTTTTTATATCAAACAAGCCCTTATACTTTGTAAAAATGATCAAACATGCCCTTTTGTTAAAATTTGCATCCAAAAACCATCGATCATGGTCGAAGCTTGGTTTGGGCGACACCTATGTCTAAAATATTCCTAATAATTTCACTTTAGAATTGTTCTGTTTCTTTTGTATAGCCAAATACCTCTAATAATTTCACTTTAACTAGACCCGGAGAAATAAATGAGGAAGAAAAACTGACATTTCAACCCCAATTTTTCCGATGTCGGGTCGTGTGAATCTCGTTTCAAATGTGATTGACCATTTTTTCAATGGAAATTTTTACATAAGGGCATGTTTGATAATTTTTCCAAAGTATATGGGCATGTTTGATGTAAAAAATAGTAGAGAGGCATGTTTGATAAAACTGCATAGTAGAGGGGAATATTATACCTATAACCCTAATTTTAAATATTTATTATTATATTCTATATATTTATTCTTCTTTCTTGATATTTTTTAAATTTTTTTAAAATTTATCTATTTTATTGACAATTTTGATTAGTCATTTTAGTAATATTATGTTTAGAAGGTTTTTTAATTTCTATATTAGATAAAAACTTGTTGAAATATAGTTTTGGATGTTTTTAAATTTTTTGGTGCCAAAAAGTAATTAAAATTTTGGGTTGGATGGAAAACTAGACGGATGCACATTTTGGCGACTTTAATAGTACCCGACGCCCTATTCAAACTTAAGTGGTATGTCTGCCCCAATTCTCAAACTTAAGTAGTACCCGAGGTATTTTACTCCTTCATAGCCCTTAGATACGCTCTCTCTCCTGTCTCTTTCTTCTTTTTTCAAATTAACGGTTAAGATTAAAGGAATGGTAGTTTTGGAAGGGAAAAATTTACCACACCCGATCATTCACCCTCCCATATAAATAGAAAAAACCCTAACTCCTCCCTCTCTCCTCCCTCTCTCCCGCAACCATCACTGACGCAAAGCCCTCCACCGCCTAAGCCTCTACCGTCACCGCCTCCGCAATCCTCAGCCTCCCTCCACCCCCTGTTGTTGCAACTCTTTCCCGTCGGCCCGTCGCAACGGTCGCCTCCCACCACCGCGACACAATCATCCTCTCCCCGTCTGAGCCCTCTTGCCGCCCTTCATCTCCCACCACTGTCGCCGTCACGAGGTCACCCTCTCCCCCTGCCTCTCCCTCCCGTTACCGAATCCCCTTTTCTAAATCTGGTTTTTTTCTCGACACTACCATCTGGTTTTTTGTATTATTAACTACTAGTAGCGCTACCAGTGCTAATGGTACGGTACGACACTGGTATCGTACCAGTAGCGCTACCAGTGCTAATGGTACGGTACGACACTGGTGCTAGTGGTACGATACTCTATGGTAGTGGTAGCGCTGAACTGGTAGCGTACCACTAGAAAAAAAATCATTACCAGTAGACTAATAGACTGGTACACTTTTAAACGCACTGATACATTTTTTTCCAGGTTGCCGGAGGGAGTCTGGCAAAGAGATTTCGCTGAAGAAAGTCTGCCGGAAGGATTTCATCGGAGAGAAAGTCTGTCGGTCGATGCGTAGTGGCCGCTAGAAAAAGGAAGAGAGAGAGATATATAAATGTATAGGATTTAATTTTTTTTCAAAAACTTGTATTTAATATGGATTTTTAATTTCCAATATAATTAATACAATAAAAGTAATTAGTAGATTCTTTTTTCGTACCCAAAATGCCCTTAATTGTCAATCTAACAACCCCTTAAGAGTTGTCACCATATCCTGTCCCCTTATTTAATCTTTTCTCTAGTGGTGTCCTTCCCTCCTATTGTAATTACCACCCTGCAATTACCATGCATCATGACCTCACCTTGTAGATGGCATACTGAAATTACATCGAAATTATTATAGTTTTCATGTTTTAGTTACAATTCAATTTGGTTACCATCATCACAATGAAATCAAAATGGTTTTCTTCTTTTATCAGTGAATCAGATCCTAAACTCCTGAAAATTGTTCTAGTTGATTAAGTAGCTTTGAAATTTAACCAACTCTATATATGACCAAAATTATCACCAAGATGCCAACTCTGCATGTGAAGAGGGAGAGTGTAAGTGCCTAACATGGACTCATTTTAACTTAGAGAAAAAATCGGTAAATCCTCCAATAATATATGGTAGAGTTTTGTGAACTTTTCTCCATTTCAAATTTCCTGCAACGAGAGTGAAAGTAGGAAGGACATTTTTGTCTTTACAATTAAATATTTATCTCAATAAAAATATCAATATGAGGATTCGAACCCAGGTCTCTTAAAACAAAGACAACAATCACAATCAATTACACTAAACAAATTTGTTGTATCTTTTTTAGTATAAAGCATACACAAAGTTAGACTCTGAAAATTGGATGAATTTTTCATCATGATTACCAAGCCCACTAAGTCTACCGTATATATTTTTATGGTGCTTGATACTTCAGTTTTCATAGTAGCTAGAGTTTCATGTAATTTTCTCAATTTTAAATTTTTTGCTCTCGCCTTAATTTTTTTGCTAAAGGTAGATTGATAATTGGCTATCATAGAAGAAACTAATTATGTTACTGCGTGTTGTATCCTTGAAATTTTCAATTTAAATTTAAATTTAGTGCTTTTTTATCTTTGTTCTTATCTCTTTTAACTTCCTCCGAAATTTCCTCTATCGTGCAATAGTTTACGCCCCTTTCACTTTTCAATACAAGGTCGCCTTTGAAATCAATCTTTTGGTATCTCTTGGCACTACGATTTTATTATTCGGGATTTAAGCTAGACAAGTAGAAGATTTCAACTCCGATATCAATCCATGACAAATAGAATGGAGTTCAATAAATGGAGTTGTAGAAGGAGGATTAGAGATTGAATTTTTTATTGAAACATATGTCTCTTGAGATAAAAATTTGGTTCTACAGCAGAGAGTGGTGACTATTGGACCTTTAGGTTTATGGTTTTTGCAGCTAGGTCGATTCTTTATTCAACCTATTGGAACTGATAGATACGGAGTGTCTAATTTTGTGCCTTATTACTTCGATCAAGTTTATTAGCATATTGGAGGTAACCCTAATTTTGTCGTTTGCTCTCAAGTTTTATTGGTCCCCTCTTAATTGAGTTGTTAGTATATAGTTGACTTGAATAAACAACTCTCCATTTCTTTTTGATTAGTGGCATATTGTTCCTAAGGAGTGCATTGAACCCTTTATGTAGGATTGTGAGGTTCAAAATTGTGTTTCAAACTATCTATGGCGTGTGGGAATTCCAATGAGCTTTTGTACTCTATCTTTCTTGACAATCAACTAACCAATAGCATTTTAATTGGGACTTAATTATCATTATAAAAATGACATCAATCATTTTTATATTCTTATTTCTCCAAAAGTTCGACCTATATATTCTTTCTTTATATATCATCTAGATCGAAGAATTGTCAATAAAATTAAACGGGTTGATAGACTTAAATTAACATAAAAATACAAATAATCAAATATGAACATTCCGGCCAACGAGCCGGGTTATAAGCTAGTAATATAATACGCCGAAGGGAAAAACGGGAGCCCCATTTCAAATTTCCTGCAACGAGAGTGAAAGTAGGAAGGACATTTTGGTCTTCACAATTACTTTTTTTTATTCATTAAAAAGACACATACTGGGATTCGAACCATGACCATTTTAAAGAAAAGCAAGGATCATAACCAATCACACTAAGTACATTTGTTGTATCCTTTTAAATTAAAAACATATAATAACAGAGAGGAAAAAACTCTTCCCCCATTTCAAATTCACTGCTCCAGGATCGTTTGTAGGAAGGGTAGAATAGGGAGTGTCAATTTTTTTCTCTTTCCTCTGTGGAACGGGCCAACTTACCGTACACATGCGGATTTAAACGGGTCTAGGAGTGTCAATTTTTTTCTTTAAACCCTTTTATTTCTCCGTGATGATAAAATATATATGAAAAGGCAAAAACAATACTTTTTTTATTGCTAAAAATAAAAAAATTAACAATAAACTAATGCATGGTATCTAATGGGCTAACCGCTAACCATAAAATAAAAGAGTTGAATGGGCCTGACCTACACGGGATTTGGCCATCAAGTAAAACAAATGAACATCATTGGTTTGACATTCTAAAACAAGCTATTTTCTCTGACATAATATATATTATGCAATTATTTTATATCTTAGTGGCTAAAATATAATGTATTTTAAAGTTATTCAATGGTTCAACCTCGACCAACCCAATTAGTCCAATTTTTATTATTTCAAATACATATTATATAATTATTTGATATCATAATTATCAAATTATAGTGTATTTTATAGGGAATCGTTTGGTATTTGTTAGTAAAAAACTAAACAAAAAGATCTATTTGGTTATTTTAAACATTAAAACCATCCTAAACATTTTCGGTTCCTTTGGAATTTCTATGGTTTTATTCCCGAATAAGTGATGTGCAAATGGCGAATTGCAGTCATCTCTTTTCTTTCACTAGTTTTTATTTTCAAATAGAAAGTTTAAAAGTAAAGAATAATTAGAATTTGGCATGGGTCGGTCAAACAGGCTAAATTTTAAGTTTTGACCCGTTTTGATCAAGTCTAATTTATTATCACATGGTTCCCTGGTACCCGATAAAACTCTCAATCCAAACCATTTTGGCAGGTGAGTCCGTGTTCACCACCATTTTCTAGGGATACGGCAACGGCGGTTCCTATCCCAAATCGTGTTGTTCGTCCTTGATTTCCTTAGATTTTATCATGGTCTGACAAGAACCAGAAAGCACAATGACGACAAGATGAAAATTTTATAAAGCAAATTAATCGGCCAACGTGCCGAGTAAAAGCTAGCAACGATTGTAAGATGCTCATTTCCCGAAAACTGACGGGATAGGCGATTTTTTATTCGATTTTCCGCAATTCGGTTTCTATAAAACTTACTCCACCTCATCATATTATGAGAAACAATATTTTTTCACAAGGTAACAGGTACTTGATTTTGGTTCATAAGGCCGATTTTTGATTCGTTGCATCATTCATGTCTCCTTCCTGCTAAAATTCACTATTTTTATCACGTGTTTCCCAAAAAAAACTATACAACAATAAGCTATACACCCTATTACATTATCAAATTTCATATCTCACCTTCCTCCGGCCAACTGGCCGGGGCCCACGCTAGTTAGGTATAATAGTCAACTGGGGATGAAAATAAGTGTGAGTTTAATTGAGAATGGTTGGCCTTACAAGTACTTGAATTAGGATTTACAAATCGTCTATTGACATATTCAAATTTTTTGTAACGAGCTATGCACAAATGACAATGGTACATATGATCCATTGAAAATCAAAGGAGTATTTATTCAACATCAAAAACAAAAATTTCCACCAAGCTAATTTGTAAAAAAAAATTATTTCAACCAAATGCAAAAGGGAGAGTGTCACAGGGTGGGTCCTTCGAGGAAATGTGCAAATTAGGTATAACAGTTAATTGAGAATGAAAATTAGAGTAATCTACTAATTGAGAACGGTCGATCAAGAGATCTTGTGTTTGAAACTTGCCGACCTCATTTGTTAAGCACATAGTATTTGATTTGTGCAATTAAGTGAGTGTTAGTAATGGCATATGATCCATTATTGAACTTCTCTCAATAACTCAATTTTTTATAATAACCAGTTCTTAGCAAATATTGTCATTTGAAAGCGAAAAGCTAGCTAAATCATAAATAATTGTCTGTTACACAGAGATATATTCTTGATAATTTTGACTCTGAACATATTTTGATTTTCCAATTGTTTCCAAGATAATATCATGGATGACTAAAAAAACTAACAAAAAATATTTTGTCATGTGTATGTTTTTTCTAAAATAATCAACTTTAGATGACATTTTGGCTACGCCTCAAGTATGTGCAATAAAAGAGACTATTTTAATGGCGTTCAACCTCTTTAGAAGATAACAAATAAGAAAACTGAATGACGTAATCAATGACGAACCTAATTTTTTTGAGGAGGTGTATCGATCGGGAGCGGATACTATAACAACACAAGGAGTGTTGTTATAGTAACCGCAGGGTAAAAGGGTCAATTAATAAAATATAACAAAAATTGAAATTTGGACGAATTAAAACCCTGCTTCGCCACTCTCCTCTTTCCCCCAACATCTCCGACTCCGCCCATCCTCCAACCATCATAGTCGTAGTCGCCGCCGTCGTAGCAATTCTCCCCCGTCGCAGCCCGCCCGGGCCTGGGGATGACCATGGAGGCGGCGTCGCCCGTGGAGAATCTGACGGAGGGAGAGCTGTCTTTGGTTTCCCCAGGGTAGGCGTCGTAGAAGCCGTGCTAGATCAGGATCGCCTTCCCGGTAGAATCTTCTGGTGCCAGATTCGGATCGTTCCCTATGTGTTCATCTAATTCGTCTTCTCGCGCTGCCAGATTCGGATCCTTCCCCGGGCACGGCCTTCCTCCGTCGTCATCGTCACCATTAACGTCCGTTTATGCCACCAGAGACCATAATTTTCACCGGTTTATCCTCCTTGCTGTTGTCACCTGTCCAATTCATTGCCATTTGATCTGAACAAAAATGGAATTCTCCCTCACTACAATCATTGATACCGATTCCTAGCCGATCTCCATTCTATCAATTCTGAGTACAAATGCCCCTCTGGTTTTTAAGCTTTCGTTGTTGATGATCCATCAGGGAATATGAAGTTGTGTTTCCCCTGCTTGTATATTTATATACTCATTGACAAAGGAATGGATATTTGGTTCTGGGATTCTATGAAGCTAAAGAAGGCTTTTAATTATACTACTGAATGTGTTGGACAACTTTCCATAATGCACCCATCTTGCTTGTAATGCAGTGAACGTGGAGATTGTTGGTGCTTTCGATGGATGAAGATGAGACTATGGCATTTGATAATGGTGCAGAAGGCAACTAACAGAACAGAGAGGTCGAGGGAAGAAGAAGATATATCAATTGTTGCAAGAAAATACGGAGTGATCGATGATTAATGCTATGAGTGATTTAATATGGAAAAGCTCTCTTACATTTAGTGGTTTGCGATTTCAAATGGGATTGTAGCATTGTAACAGTTTTGTATTCGCTTGTTAGTTATCAGTGTGTTTGTGCTTATGTTTTATAAACACACTATAAATTTTATAATACAAACCACAAATATAGTAAAACAAATCACAAAATGCATACAAAAAATCTTCTAATATAGACCATAAATCCTCTAAAACAGAACAGAAACGCCAAAAAGCAAACCACAAACACTTTATAAGTACACCAAAAGCCTTCTAATGCAACCCACAAACACAATAAAACAAACCACAAAAAGCATATAATAAACCTCATAATGCAAACTACAAATAGCCTAAAACAAACCACAGAATTTTCAAAAACACACCAGAAATCTCATAATGCAAACCACAAACACGATAAAGCAAACCACAAAAATAAACCAGAAACATCCTAATGCAAACCAAAAATATATTAAAACAAACCAGAAACCTCACAAAGCAAACCACAGAATTTTCAAAAACACACCAAAAAACTCATAAAGCAAACCATAAACACCGTAAAGCAAACCACAAAAACAAACCAGAAACCTCCTAATGCATACCACAAATCTCCTAAAACAAACCACCAACCCCTCAATGCAAACCACAAAATTTTTTAAAGCAAACCAGAAACTTCTCAATGCAAACCACAAACACGATAAAGCAAACCAGAAACTTCTTAATGCAAACCACAAACACGATAAAGCAAACCACAAAAGGCATACGAAAATATGAGAAACCAAACCATAAATCTCACAATGTAGACCATACATCCGGTGGTAGTTGACCGGTCAACGAAGTTCGTTGACCGAACTCCGGTGACCGTCAGTTAGCAGATTACGACGCCGATAGGCATATTTCGGCCACGATGACTAGATTATGACGCCGGTAAGCATATTCCGACCGCGGTAAGCATATTCCCGCGACGATGGCATATTCCGATGACAAAATAGCATATTTCGGCGACAAAAAACATATTCCGGTGACCGGCGACCGGTGGCAGAATTCCGGCGACCAAAATTTTGGGCCGAAAATAAAAAATATTTTTTATTATTTTATTTTATTTTTATTTAAACATATTTTTCATAATGACAATTATACCTCTGCTTTGATTTTACACTAGGTCAACTCATCTAATAAAAAGTCATCACAACCCTAACTTCCTATTAATTGAAGACTAGTGTTGTTACAATAACAACATAAGAGGTGTTGTCATAATATCTAGTCCCGTATCGATCGATAGTACGTGACAGACTCCCCTTATCTAAGTCAGCCCGCACGTAATATAGTCAGGACCGATAGAAATTACTAGAAGGATAGTGAAGTGGGGATGTGGGATTAGATTTGATTCTTTGAGAGACTAATCAGTAATCACTAGTTGTGGACCGTGTGGTCCTAAACTCCTAATACACACATTATTTACATGCAGCGAAGATTAACGGAATGGTCAAGGTGAAAGGAGAAGATGGTAATTACGAGCATGTAAATAAGTGTCATCTGTCATGTGACTTTCTTTTCCATTTTTTCCTTTTTAGGTTTGAGGCCGGATTCCAGGATTAGCGGTACTAAGTCACTTGACTAAACCTTATTCCAGTCTTTAGATTCGAACACACAAATTTAACGGTTAAAAAGTGTGAAGAAATTTTTAATTAGTGACAGAAGTATTTTGGGTATTATGAAAAATTACGAAGTATACAAACTGGCCTTACAATCAGTACAAACATTACAAGCATACAAACAATACAAACTAGAGCGACAAAACATACATACAGATTTACAAACAATACAAAACATACAAACTATACAAACAATACGAACTAGACCGATAAACAATATAAACCATAAAAAATGAAAAAGCAATCGGGTGGACGTTGGAGGCTTCTTCCCTATATAGAGGGGTTCCGTCCCAAAGTCAACCAGATTGTTTTTTAGACATACAAACATGATTGACAAAAATGACAAATTAAAACGACAAACCATACTAAATGGAAAAAACACTCGAGTTGACTTTGGAGGCTTCACCTCTATATATAGGAGTTGCGTCCAAAAGTCAATCAGGTTGTTTTTTAGTCATAAAACCATTACAAGCATAGTGGACAAAAATACCAAACCTTACAGAAGGAGAATGGACAGAGTTAGTCTAGGTTCAGGGTAATGTCGTAATAAGATGGCATGTGTACTTGGCACCTATTGTAATAACCAAATTGAGCTTTTTGCCTACCTTTCCATATATGTTGTGGCTTTCGGAACGTGATTTTTGTAAATAGCTCTTTATCACGTTAAGTGATTAATGAACGTCCTTTCTTTCCCTTTGGCACCTAATGAGAATTAGCGTAGAGGGGATGGAATTTGTGAAACCTTTTCTCTATTTCACTGGCAGCTGGGCTGCTGAATATGTACAGAGGAAACGGAAGCAACAGGACAAACGTCCCTAACGGCCTTGTCCTCTCACTAGTTGACAGGTGGCCCTATCTGTTAATTACACGTATAGTATCTAAGACTAAAGTAATGTATTTACATAAAGGCAGGAACGCTGCCGTATTGGTTCAAGTTCTGGCCTCCTCCTTCTTCCCTCTTTCTCTGCTCTTGACCATTGGAGCGTTCTTCTTCTTCACTCTGTTTGGAGGAGGCAGGGTGTTCCATTTCATTCAACAGCTCCCCACAAGCTGGCGAGTATATATCATATACTCCCAGCTTGAAAAGAATCCATCTGAATCTGTGTGCACTTAGCCCCTTCGTGAAGATGTCGGCTAGGTTTCTATCTGTACACACATACCTTAGGTCAATCAGCTTCGACTTCACTCTTTCTCTGATCACATGGCAGTCGATCTCAATGTGCTTCGTCCGCTCGTGGAATACGGGATTTTCCGCCATGTGAATCGCGGATTTGTTGTCGCAGAAGACGGTAGCTGGACCTTTGTATTCAACATTCAAATCCTTCAGCAATTGGGTAACCCACTGCACTTCGCACGAAAGTTGAGATAGTGCTCTGTATTCGGCTTCGGATGATGATTTTGAGACGATCGCTTGTTTCTTGGCCTTCCAGGTGATGAGGGAGCTCCCCAGAAAGGTGCAGTACCCGGTAATTGATCTTCGTGTGTCGGGGCAGGCTCCCCAGTCCGAATCGCTGTACCCAGTTAGGGTGAAGTCGGTATTTGATGCGAAGAACAATCCTTGACCTGGAGAGTTCTTGAGATACCTGAGTATTCTGTGTGAGGCTTTTAGATGTGATGACTTCGGTTGTACCTGGAATTGACACAGTTGCTGTACTGCATAGGAAATGTCGGGTCTTGTGGTGGTCAGGTAACTCAATCTTCCGATCAAGGATTTGTATTCATATGGATCCACTGGTTGTTCTTCGTTGTACTGTGATAGTCTGGTCTTCATGTCTGATGGGGTTTTAACAGGCTTTGTGTTCAAGAATCCTGTGTCTGTGAGTAAGTCGAGGCAATACTTCCTCTGTGTGACTGAAATCCCAGAACTGCTCCTAGCTACTTCCAGACCCAGGAAGTACTTCAGTTTCCCTAGGTCTCGGACTTTGAATTCTGTTGATAGGAAGTCCTTTGCTTCTTGAATCATGTTCCAGTCATCTCCTGAGATTATCAGATCATCAACGTAGACTAGGATAACAGTAATTCCTTTACTGGTCTTCTTGGTGAAAAGGGAGTAGTCAGAGTAGGATTGGTTGAATCCGAATCTGATCAAAGCATCTGTAAGCTTGGCGTACCACTGTCTGCCAGCTTGTTTCAATCCGTATAGTGATTTCCTCAGTCTACATGCTTTACCCGGTATCTCCATTCCAGGAGGTAACTTCATGTATACCTCTTCTTCCAAATCCCCATTCAAATAAGCATTGCTGATGTCCATTTGGCTTAGGTCCCAATTCTTGACAGAGGCGACTGCTAGGAGTGTCTTAACAGTGTTGATCTTCACTACGGGAGAGAATGTGTCGAGGAAATCAATATCATGGATTTGTGTGAACCCCTTAGCAACGACTCTGGCCTTGCGCCTTTCGATTGAACCATCAGCAAATAATTTAGTTTTGTATACCCATTTGCTTCCCACCAGTTTCTTTCCTGGTGGAATGTCCACCACATCCCACGTTCTATTGAGTTCAAGTGCTGTCTCTTCGACCTTCATGGCTTGTCTCCAGCATTCATCCTTTATAGCTTCATTGTAGGTAAGTGGGTCCTGGATGTTAGCGACTGCTAGGGAGAAGTGTTTGTGTTGATCACTGAGTTGGGAGTAGTTCATGTGGGATGAAATTGGGTATCTTTGTGTAGAACTGGCGCTGCCAACATAGTAGTCTTTGTGCCAGATGGGTTTGGTGGCTTGTCTGCTTGATTTTCTCAAGGGTTGGAGTTGGAGGTCTTCTTCACTTGCTGTGTCTGCTGGCCCCCCTTCATCATCTACGAAAACTTCTTCAGAGTCCTCAGCAGTTGGAGAGTCCATGGATTCAAACGGGATAAAGCCAGGTTGGCTTGATGAAGGGGCTGCAGCATTAGGAACAGAATGTACATATGGAATATGATCTGTATGCAAGTGTGATGGCATATGTGCTGAGGGGGAAGTTTGAGAGGATGAGGAAGTAGGAGGAGTGGGAGTTGAGTGATGTGGTGATTTGTCTGTTGTTGTTGTGGAGGCAAAGGGGAAGATGTTTTCGTGAAAGATAACATCTCTAGAGGTGAAGGTACGGTTGGTGTTAAGATCAAGGAGTTTGTACCCCTTTATGCCAGGCACTAGGCCAAGGAAAACACATCTTCTGGCCCTTGGTTGGAATTTTGTGCGTCCAGCTTCTAGAGTAGAGGCATAACATAGGGAACCAAGAACCTTGATGTGTGAATAGTCTGGTTTTTGGTGATAAAGTTTTTCAAAGGGAGTTAGATTGGATAGGATAGGTGTAGGAAGTCGATTAAGGATGTGGACAGCATATAAAATGCAGTCACTCCAGAATCTCAGGGGTAGGCTAGCTTGGATTTTTAGTGATCTAGCTATGTTCAAAATGTCTTGGTGTTTTCTCTCCACCCTCCCGTTTTGTTGTTGTCTCTCAACACAAGACATTTGGTGTGTGATTCCATTATTTCTATAAAACTCAGTCATGTGGAATTCTAGTCCTTGGTCACTTCTTATTGACTTTACTGTTTGGTTGAATTGGTTTTGAATCATGGTGCAGAACTGTTGAAGGAGCGGCCTGACCTCGGATTTGTGTTTCATGAGGTAAGCCCAGACAGCTCTGGAGTGGTCATCAACAATGGTAAGGAAGTAGGTGAAACCATCATAGGATTTAGTATTGACTGGCCCCCAAATGTCTGTATGTATGAGATCAAATGGTTGTTTGGAAACATGTAAGCTAGATGGGAAAGGTAGTTTCTTTTGTCTGGAAAAATGACAGACCTCACAGTGATCAACAAGGTTCAAAGGAATGTCAGAATTACATTTCTGGAAAATTTTGATTCTAGAATTTGAAAGATGCCCTAATCTAGCATGCCACAGTGCTGCTTCTTCATCTTGATTGTGTGAAACAGCTGCTGCAGTAGCTTTGGAAGGTGTATGGTTGGAGGTGGAGGCTGTGGTCTCAAGTCGATAGAGTCCCTTAACCTCTTTTGCAAAACCAATCCTCTTCTGTGAAGGAAGGACCTGGATATCACAGAAGTTGGATTTGAAAGTTAGGGATATTGGGAGTGATTTGGTCAGAGTGCTAACAGACAGTAAGTTGAATGTGAAGCTTGGAATGTGTAGTACGTTTTGAAGGGTAAGATTTGGATTGACTTGGACTGTTCCAACATGACTGACTTTCACTTTAGAACCAGTAGGTAAGGTGACAAAGGTGTTTTCTACAGGTTGGTATGAGATGAAGTGGGATAATGCACAGCACATATGATCAGATGCACCAGTGTCAATCATCCAGATGTCCATTAGTTCTAAATGCTGTGAAGAGGAGAAAGAGGAGAGTGTGTATTTACCTCCATGATCAGGCATTGGATTCAGATGCCTTGACACAGAATGTGCTTGTGCTTGGATGGTAGGTTGTTGTGGTTGGCAGCTCCCACTTGATTGTTGCAGTAACATCATCAGCCTGGTGCAGTCTTCTGTGGTAAGTCTCAATGTGGTGGTGTTGTTTGGTTTGTAGCCTTGGTCATTGCTCACATTGTGAGTGTCTGTGGTTTGATCTCCAGTTCCACCATTTCCAGTTGCAGCTGCTGCATAGGCCTGCCCAGGGGTTTCACCTCTCTTCCTCTTCAATTTCCAGCAATCAGCGATGTTGTGGTTGGTTTTCTTGCAATAGTTGCAGAACAGGCCTTGTTGGTTGCCCCCAGAGTTCTCATTGTTGCTTCTCTGGTTCCCCTGTCCAGAATAGTTTCCTTGATACGAGTTGGGTTTGCTTCCACGAGGATAATCAGTCCTCTGATCCCTTCCTTTGGTCTGATTCGTTGCAGCTAAAGCTACAGAGTCCACTCCTGTGGTTTCCTTGGTTGGCTGCTTGTCCATCTGTCTCTCTAGCTTGAGAGCATGTTTGTATGCAAGCTTGAGGCTGGGAGCTGGATCCATAAGGAGTAGCTGATTTTTCGTCATCTCGAAAGAGTCATTCAGGCCAATGATAAAGTCGATGGTGTGATCTTGTTCTTGAGATTCCTTGACTGCTGCATAGGTGACACGGGACATGGTGTGTGGTATTGGACCACACTCACAAGCAGGTATAATCTTGAAAGACAGATATTCGGTCCAGAGGACTCCCAATCTATTGTAAAAATCTGTCACTGTGTCATCTCCTTGTTTGCAGGTGGCTATCATCCTCTTAACATGGGCTAAGCGAACTGAGTCGGCTTCGCCATACCTCTCCTGGAGGTCTTTCCACAAGTCTTAGGCTGTCTCGTTGTCCATAACAGCCTCAGCTATGGAGTCGAGCAGGGAATTGAGAATCCAACCCATGACGTTGGTATTACTCTGATCCCAAGCTTCATAATCAGGGTCGGTTACCTCAGGCATAGGTAGGCTGCCATTGATAAACCCAAGCTTCTTCTTGGTTTTTAAGGCGATTCTCATAGATCTACTCCATACATGGTAGTTAGATCCATCAAGTTTTACAGAAATAATACCTTGGGCTAGGTTCTCGTTGGGGTTGACGTAATATGGATCAACTGCAGGTCGAGGAGTTTGCTGGGTTGTGCCGCTTCCAATGCTCCGAGTGTTGTGTTCTTCAGTTTCGTTAGTCGCCATGGTGGGATTTGCGGCGGCGGCACGGAAAACCTAGCAGTCGTGAGCTCAGCGCTCTGATACCATGAGAATTAGCGTAGAGGGGATGGAATTTGTGAAACCTTTTCTCTATTTCACTGGCAGCTGGGCTGCTGAATATGTACAGAGGAAACGGAAGCAACAGGACAAACGTCCCTAACGGCCTTGTCCTCTCACTAGTTGACAGGTGGCCCTATCTGTTAATTACACGTATAGTATCTAAGACTAAAGTAATGTATTTACATAAAAGCAGGAACGCTGCCGTATTGGTTCAAGTTCTGGCCTCCTCCTTCTTCCCTCTTTCTCTGCTCTTGACCATTGGAGCGTTCTTCTTCTTCACTCTGTTTGGAGGAGGCAGGGTGTTCCATTTCATTCAACACCTAATCTCATGCTCGACAAACTAAGTCGATCATGTATTAAAAAAAATACAATTGAGAAGAGCACAAACTCGAAAGCATATAACCGTAAGCCTGGCGCAGGCGATGGATGATCTGCTGCCGGTTAGACGAGCAGCAAAGTGGAACATTGCCGATTTGTTAATCATAAACCAGCACATGAAATGTAACAATAATGGTGATGAATGAAAAAGAATATATAATGTCTCCTCAGATCCCATATGCATTGAACATCGAAAAGCTACAAGGAGGGTACATGATCTTGCATATCTACTTATCTGCATTCGTGATTTTAAGAATTATACATTTGTTGATGCACAGATATAGAGCTCCATAATTGGATTTGGAGATCTTACACGACGAGATTATAAGAATTCAAATTGTTCTCAAGTAGTTCAGTGAATGTTTTGATGTGTGCGTTGAGTTCGACCAGTCTGTCTTAATGTGTTCATTTGATCTTGAAGCCACGAAAAACACTAAGGCAAGTGCGCTCAATTTCAGTTTTCGGGTTTCTTGTGTTCACATCCCAAGAAAACACGAAGATGCGACCATAACAAAAAGACGCTGAATCAACCCCTCAACTAGGAATGGCAATGGGCAGGTCCGGGGCGGGTTTCTTGGTACCCAGACCCGCCTCGTGGCAGGTCGCGTCCAGGTCGGGTAATTGATCACGGGTCGCGGGTTGGGGCAGGTCGACCCAATGGGTATGCAATTTATATGAAAAACATTAGAAATATTCGTTATTTTTATTATAAGACTAAGAAAACAAACAATATTATGACAATTGTAGTTAAATTATTGGAGAAATTGAAGTTTTTACTAATTTACAACTTTATTATAGCTAAAATATGATGCAATAAAAGGAAAATTCTAAGTAATTTGACTAAGATTACATGTAATTTAGACAAGAACGGGTCGAGAATGGGGCGAGTCAGGGCAGGTCGGGTCGATGAGACTACCCATGCATGCCCCGCCCCGCCTACGGGGCGGATCGGACCCACCTCAAAACAGGTCAAACAGGTCGGGTAAAACGGGTCAGGTCGAAATTGCCATCCCTACCGTCAACTGCTCTTACAGTCACATTAGCAAACTACATTCTCGAAAGGCTAGTCTAAACCCTACTTCTTACTATTTCATCACCTGCATTAACCCCATTTCAAGACTCAACATATACAACTAACTCTGTCCATGCTGATTATGTACAACGCCCTAACCCACCGGCCTACTGCGTCTGAGGATCATCCTTCTTCGAGCACAGGTGGTACGTGTGCCGGCGGCTCATTTCCAAGTTTCTTCGACAAGTCTGCTGCAGTTGCCTTGTCTGATTCCCGAGGACTCAACAGCTTTTCTACTTCTTCAAACTTTGAGGTCGCCAATGGTGCAATCCCTACTGTTTTCGAGGTAGTCGGACCATCTATTGTCAACATGGATGCTTCGTCCCTAGATGCATACCAGGAGTTGCCGCAGCCAATGCACTCAAGCTGAAAACCACGCCCACAAAAACATGCAGCTCAATCATTGTTCATGGCGTAGATAAAAGAGAGTAAACCACCAACTATGGAGGGGGAAATCAGTGTCTGAAAACGAACATGGGGTGCTTATTTTTTACCTTTTGCTGAAAATAAGTGACGTTTCTCAAAGTGGAGTAAAAATGTAGAAAAAGCTGTGTTTGATAAGTGGTTAGAAAAAGCAGTTAAGAACCTGATAGCGGTCTCCGTGTCCTGCTTGAATGATGTCCCTTATACCCACTTTGGACTCATTGCACCTCCCGCAACGAGCATCAGTCATCTGTCACAGCGGTCATGGCCAAAAGAAACGCGCAAAACACGTGAGATTAACAAATGGGCATCGAACCAAAATGCTTTGGCAGGCTATGCCTATTTCTGGAAATAGGTGGTTGGAAAGTCACCTGCATGTGCACAGATTCTTCAGGCTCTTTGGTCTTTCTTTCCTCCGCAGTTGACCCTTCCTGAATTTTTGACAAATTAGACTAACTGTCCAACACACTACCAAAAACCAGAAGAAACCAAATTACAAAAACAAAAGAGTACTAGACACGCTATTTAATTACCTTTAACTCATTTGGTGACATGCCCAGTATTTTGGAAGGTTCCAACTCTCCATTCAGCAGACGATGAGTAAGACGCTCATTATTCTGTTAAAGGGGCAGACAGACCATCTTTTAGAGGAGAAACAACAAAAACCAATACAACTTAAACAATCATTTTAGTTTTAGGAAAACATGTTCCTTCAATAACATCAAAACTATTTCTTCTCCATGCACTTCGTACTTTTTTACTCAGGCCTGTCTTGGAGGAAAGTTAATGACTGAATAAACCCATGGAAGTGCCTTCACGGAATATTAGCAAATAACTGAATTGAAACATAATGAATAAAGAGATGCATGTAAAACATGATAGATAGACTGACCTTGAGATTGAACACAAGTTGTCTTAACTTCTGGTTGTACTTATCAGCAGACAGGGTCTCGTGTGTGACCCGCTCAAGAGCACTGACAGCAGGAACAGCAGCATCTGGCCAGGGGAATGACTTGTCATCCTGCAGAATACAAACAGATGGACAGAATCAAGTATTGAAATTTCAGAAAACTTGTGTTTCAACTAATAATTCACCACTGCAGGATAATATAAACTCGGCCTATATTTCTAGGGAAAATACCATATGCAAAACAACTAACCACACCTTCGGGTTTTTCTGTTGATTACTATCATTTTCAGTTTCCTGGGGCTTATCCTCCTTTGCACTAGTCTGCCCATTTGAACCAGGTTTCCTGCAAGCATACTGAACACTCTGTAACAGCTTCTCCAAACACCTGTCACGGTGGGTGTCTCCAGTCAATGCATTAAACTTCACCAGGATAGCATAGAATTCAGAATTGCTTGTGCAGCTTCCTTGTGTCTCGGCTCTCAGACCATCCCTTGTCGAAACTGTCTCTTCCTCTCTTGAAACATCAACAGGTGAGATGTTTCTTTTTCTGACGCTTCTTTTAACCTTTGACTGGTCTTCAGGCTCACCAGAAGGCGCAGCGGTAGCATCATCCACCTCAATGTCTGGAAGATCTACTAGACGTGAGAGAGTCTTTTGGACAAGAATATCAATCTCATGCTGCTTATCATCTTCATAATCCTTATCAGTTAGCTGCCACAGCTTCTTATTATCTGTGTCATAAACTTTCTGTACAATGAAACCAGGATCCTGCTTTCGATTAGGAATCTGCTTGTGGACAGGAATGAAATGCGCGACACACTTATGCAATACAGACTCTGCAGGAACCTCGTCAAGATGGAAACTATAAAACAGCTCCCGGGTATCAGATGATATCCAGTTTCCGCCTCCTCTTTTCTCAGCCTCGTCTGGCCGATAAAACCATTGCCCAGTGATCATCATATTGCCATCTTTTGTCTGAGCGATATCCTGTTAACAGCAAACCAACGTCGCTGAACAAATAGGGAAAGACATAAAAAGCAAAATGGGTAGAGGTAGAATTAACATATATACACAACCAAGAAACTTATATAACCACAAGGGTAAGCAATCGTATTCAAGGGAACTGTGCAGATTTTGGACATTATACAAGGAAAAAAATGTTCTTATTCTCCAGGAAGAAAACGGAAGCAAAGATCAACCTATGAAAAGGGAAAGACATCAAATAACACCCAAAAAAAAATGTGGCGACGTATGAAGAAAGTAAAAATCAGTAATGATCTCCGGTATCACCCTTGTAAAGTGTTTATCTCAATGGCAGGCATCAGCGAGTTGGGAACGATAGGGGAAAAGTGCATATCAGATTTTTTTTAATCATTCCAGCATACCCAGTTCAGCTACCACTACAATGAACATAAGTACATAACACAGATCTTGAAATCCAAACCGAATACATGGGTGTGGTCATGTAATATAGTACCACGGATGCATGTGTGTTCTTTAACCAAGCACAGTAACAGGAAACAAACCACCTATTTATTTTACAAAACTCTACCGCAGAGCTACCGCTTAACATGTGCTCAGTCTCAGAATCAACTCGAGCAGCATAACTAGCAGCATTGAATAGCCACACAAACTTCAACTTCAGGAAAGGTGATTTAACGTGGTTTGCCTAGTAAAGACATGCCAAAATGGAAATCATTACGTCCATTCAACTCCCCGTGAAAGAAAAGGAAAAACTATGTATAACCATTACCTTGATGATTGCAACGTAAGGTTTCTGGTCCTGGTCCTCCGGAGTCAAAAGCACTGGATCCTCCTACAAACAACCGAAGCAAAACCAGGTTGACTAATAAATGAGTGATTGATCAGAAAGGCTGAAACTTCAAGGAAACCAGAAGCTCAAAGTTCCAAGCCTTAAGCAAACCTTCAACAGCCAAGTTAAATTTGTGAAAATTAAACAATGTAATGGACTTCTAGCTCTTTCAAAACCAACATATCATCGATTATCTATCCAACGGGTACTTCAAACCCACAGCAAACGCAGAAGCAAGCCTAGTTTGTGGTACTAAGTGTAACAACTTGAGAGATATCAATCCACAAATGTAATTCATAATCCCCTCTCCAGAAATTCAACCTACAAAG